ACCGCGGCTCCGCCTCCTTCCTCCCCGCAGCTCATCGAGTACGCCAAGCTGGGGGACACCAACGAGCGCGCCATGCGCATGGCGAACTTCTGGCTGACGGTGAGTACCCCTCCCCAGATCCCTCGTTGCCCCCCGCAGCCCCGGTGCTGGAGCTGAGCATGCCGCCCCGCAGGAAAAGGACCTCATCCACAAGCTGTTCAAGGTGCTGGCACCCCGGTTCCAGCCCCACCCCGGCAGCTACACCCGCCTGCTGCAGATCCCCAACCGGGATGGCCTTGACCGCGCCAAGATGGCGGTCATCGAGCTCAAGGGGAACCCCTTCCCACCGCTCATCTGCCCGCGACGCGACACCGAGAAGACACTGCTCAACCAGCTGCTGAAGGGCTACCGGGAGGACATGCAGCGGGCGGCAGCCCCACAGGCCCCCGAGGGCACCCCTGTCTAGGCATCCCCCTCTGCCCTGAGGGAGGCCCCGTGCCTGCACAGGGACGGGGTTTGGCGTGAGCTGCCCACGCACCAGCCAGCTTGTTGCTGTCCTGGAGCACAGGAATGGAGGACGTCCCAGGAGGTCTGAAGGTTGATGACTGACCTTGAGTTGCTGTGACAGGGGCACAAGCTCAAGGTTTACTCGCTGCTTCCTGCGGTTTGAATAGAGACTCGGCAAGAGAAGGAAATCAAGCTGGGAGCCCTAATGGTTGATATTCTCTGTGTAAATAAACTCTGTTCAGAAAGTGAGTTTGCTTCTATTTGGAGTATATTCCAGTGCACAAGTTAGTAACTTATTCCAGCAAAGACTGGGTTTGTTAGAGCTCCTGGTCCAACAGCCCTACTCTGAGGCAGCATCTCCCCTTCACTTCAGAGTGCAGTGTTTTCTAGAAGCGAGTGTGCAGCCTTTCAGGGTAGGAAATTCAGTGAAAAAATTAAGTTAGTTTTGCTGTTTCAGAAGCACTGAATGCAAATAGGATGGTAGCACTGAGATAAGTCTTAAAAGAGGCAGTACCAAAGGGACTTGTGTTATAATAAGGAGGCAACGTGGGCAGGAATAATAGTCATCTCTACCAAGAGCTTGTTAGACATTTCAGCCTCAGGTGTAGGGTTGCAAGAAATCTATGTATTGCCCTATTAGAACAAAAAGGGAGAGTAGCAGAACTTTTTCAGAGAGTGATATAACTACTGGGAGATAAGAAACTTAAATTGCTAGCTTCGTCTTTGATTTCAAGTACAGCTAGTACTAGAAAGTCCAAATATGCATATTTCCTATAGTACTAGAAAGTCCTAGCTGTAGCTTCTGAGTGGAGGAAAAAAAAAACCCAAACAAAAAACCCCCACCAAACGTGTTAGGTTCCTTCCTCCCTCCCAAGTTTCACAAACTTAAGACAAATGAGTGATCCTATGTAGTGAGTTAGCTGTATGGAAAGACAGAAAAAAAAAACCAAACCCAAGCGATGCTAACTTAAAATTTCGTAATTCTTTCTTCAGGACACTTACCTCACACAGTACCACTTGTTTTAATGAGCTGGTAATTCTTCAGGACAATCACCTCACACAGTACCACTTGTTTTAATGAATTCCAGTGAGAAATTAAAGATGTGTGGTACTGTTTAAGGAAGAAGGAAAAAACAGTCCAACTACTAAAAAGTCAGTGTTCAGACAGACCTTAATCTTTATGTTTCTAATGATCTTGAAATTGCCCTCTTTGCAGTTGACCTAGCGTCTTGCTCAAAAAGACGTTTTCCCCCTCAACAGAAGAGATGAGCCAAACTGCTGTTGCTGCAGAGCTTCCACATTATTAAAAGTCCATGTTGAGGCTTTAATGAAATACTCAAGAATAATACTTTCTCTGTATTTCTTCCTTAAATTGGTCTTTCATCCTAGTAAACTGAATCCTAGCACGTTACCAGCGATCGACGACCCAGCATGCTGACTGTAGCCCTCTGGAGACTTTCCCAGTGCTTCAGGGGCAGAGGTGCTGCCCAGGCTTTTCACTGTAGCATTTCAAAGCGATAAGGCTACTGCATACCTTGAAGGCAAAGGCGAGTGCTGTTTCACCTGCTTAATCTCTCAGGATTCAGATTAGAAATGTGAATGCTGTTTGATAAGCGTAAGTCTGTGTTACCTGCCAGTTTATTTCAGCAGATTTAACTTTTCTGTGGGATTGATGAGAAACTGAGAGGTAGGATTTTAACCACTGAATCATTTTCCCTTGGTCTGCCCACCTGTCACTTTCTTAGAGGAGGAGAGACAGTAACTGTCTAGCTATTTTGGTAGAAAACTCAAGGATGGGAATGATAAAAATATGTCAAGGGAGGAAGATGACTGTGGCCCTGTAGCACTAGCTGAAAATCCAGTGTTATGCCCATGTTACCATTATCCGAAACATCAGTTTTGATCAAGGGACCCAGAAGCAAGAGCAGGTAGACGTGCATGTAGACAAGTAAATGTGAAAACACTGATTTAGAAAGACAGTTGGATAAAAACATTTAATGAGGGAAAGCAGGTCAAGCTCTCTTCTGCTTGTCCTTAGATTAATAATCTGAGGGGAAAAAAAGTCATAGAATCATAGAATCATTGAGGTTGGAAAAGACCTCTAAGATCATCGAGTCCAACCGTCAACCCAACA